TTAGATGGTGCCTTTATTTAAGAAGAGGAAAAAGGGTACCCAGTTTAAATCCCCTGCTGTGTTGTTATTGCTGATTTATGAAATTTATCATGCCAAAAAAATCCAAAACAATTTCAGGAGACCAGAGAGCTCAGCATGCAGCAGGTGGAAGGGCACTAGAACTCCCACATCTGAGGTTTTTTTCATCCAGACATTTCATCTATGCAAAGTTCAACAATTTACCTGTCAAGAGGTTCTGGCCATAGGACTAGCCCACTAAGACCAAAAATGCAGCAACTTCAAATATATCAAGAGAGTCTGGTAATGTAACACCAGGCATACAATACCAATTACTTTTACTGAGTTTTAAAGGCTAAAAGAACCATTCTATAGTTATACTCAAGACTCTTTCACTGTGATAGACTGCAGTATCAGCAACAGCTGCACTGCAGGAAACGAGTTATTGCTTGTATACAAGACTACGTAACACTAAGTACTTTTTTTTCAGTTAAAAACAGTATCTACCTAGAACTGAACAGAATTAGAGGATTATTTTAACACGTGACTAGACTTGTACTATTCAGAATACAATAATACATGCCTTCTTTGAAGAATTTCAAAATGCTGTTCTGCAGTCAGGCAAGCAGTCTGTTCACATGACAACAGAAGAGATTTCCAAATGTAATACATACACAGTAACACAAACACACAGGGCCTGAACTCTTGACAAGAATAAATCGAAGTGAGGGCAGTTTTACCTAAAGAGCACAGGTACATTTTGGTGCAAGATGAATGCTGGGCTATACCACCAAGTGCAAATAAATACAGGTAGCGCAGACAAATGTGGACTGGCATCTACCTTTTCAACCATAGATCATAGTGAACACTACTTGGGTTACAAGGGTCAATACTAATTGGCTACTGATACCAGCAACTCCTATTTCAGCAGCGGGGACTCATTAAGCACAGTGAGAACCTCCCCACACATTCAAAAAGCATTAACGCCTCTAAATCACAAGTGGTTTCTACAATACCTATTCTCAAGTCAATGAAGCAATGCAGTTTTCCTCATTTAATGCAACATACATGTAGAATAAAGGAAGAATACAAATTGTGTCTACAGTTTTGTCACCAGCAAGCTGCCTGCAGGCACGGACGGGACAGTCCAGGATTACAGATAGACAGTAGACTGTTTAAATACAGGACACGTGATGCTAGCAGAAGTCTTGCTACAATCTTCAGTGCTAAACTCCCCAGTGGCAATTTAATGTGAGGGGCTCAAAATCACTTAATCAGATTTTTATTGATTTTACAAAATCACTCAAAATCAGATTTTTACTGCATGCACCAGAAGAAAGTTTCAGTACTGTTATACATTCAGCACAAACAACTGATGTCAGACTAGATTCTTGTATTACTACACAACATCAAGGAACTGTATTTACACAAATGCAAAATTTATGGAACATTCTCGCTTTAAGTAAAATATCCAGTCCTTGAGGAATATACATTCGGAAAAGTATTCATGCCATTACTTTGGTGATCTCAGAAGTACTGACACAGCATTCAAGCCCCTATCATCACACTCCACCTGTACTCCTCTGATTTTACAAGGCAATAGGGAAGTTTGTTTCTGAACTTGTGGTGGGTTGACCTCAGCTGGACACTTAGTGCTCTCTGATCTATTCTACCACTCCTCTTCTAGGCAGAACAAGTGGAGAAAATAAGATCGAAAAAAATCCATGGGTCAAGATAAAGGCAGTTTAATAAACCAGTGGCAGAGGTCATTGAGAGAAACAAAGGTCAACAAAAATCTTACTCCCTACTTCCCATCAGCAGGCCATGTCCAGCCACCTCCCAGGAAGTAGGGCTTCAGTATAAGCACACGGATTGCTCCAGAACATAAGTGTCACAGAGGTGTGTACAGAGCATCTCAGAATTTTCCCAACATAAATGTTTCATTTCTTACTGAACTTGAAGTACAGAAATGCTCTGATTAAAGAAACACAAGTAAATTACATATATATGGAACATATTAAAATAGGTACTAGTTAGCTTTCATAAAAACAAACATACTTAATACAACAAGCACAGCTGCACCGGACAAAGCCATTACATTTGTTCAATTTTTTATGTATTTCAAAGCTTCTAAAATGCTTCAGCTGAAAACAGACCATAAATTACTTTTTATTAAAAGGTCTAAAGAGTAACACATACACAGAGTTTTTCAAACTGAACACAGCAGGGTTGTAAGCTTCTGATGCAGGCAGAAGAGGTGTTCCTACATAAGGGAGAAGTGCTGCTGCAGTACAATAAAAACCAGTTTCAGCCATATACATGCACATGTCAATGGCCAAGCTAAATCCAGCCTACAACACAGAGCACTATGTTTTGAAGTAGACTGTGACAAAGTTCCAAGAACACAAAAAGAATTAGCCATTTCTCTACAAGTCCTCATAGTCTCATTTATGCCAGAAAGCCTGGGGAAGAGAAAACGCTTCTTCCTTCTACATCCTCACACTTCAAGACTTCTGGAAGTGTTAATGCCATCTTGCCATCCACTTAACTTTTGCAATATCACTATATACTATTTTGAAGTGGTATTAGGGAATTGTCTATTTTTCTTAACTTTCCCAAAATTAAAAAATATTTATCATTTTGTCTTTTTGCTCCCACAAATAGTGGAATTCACTTTTAACTGTGCATCTCTACCCAAAAGTTCAGCAGCTCACGATATTCTAAGCATCTTACACAAAAAGCCATTATCACTAACCTTCCTTATTCCATAGTCTGCACCTTTATTTCTTTCTGTATTCTGCTTTGTTTAGAGCAAGCTGTTTCACACTACCCTTAATTTGGAAAATTTCCTATGAATGTTCACATATTCCCACTGTTATTCAGAGAACAGGAGATGACTATCAAAAATATGACAGTCACAACTCACATAATTTAAAACAAGCTGTTTTATCCTCCTCTTCAGTTTAATTTACCATAAGCCCCCACACAGAGGTGTTTATCTGCTTACACAGCACCTTGCTCTGTGGTATACTAATGCTTCCTATGGAGACAATACATTTGCAAATCCAACAGTCCACAGAAGTCCAGTGCTGAATGAGTTTCTGAAGCTGAACACAGTAAGAAAGTCTGAAGGCAATACAGAATTGCAGTTTCTCAAGAGAAACTCCAATATACTTAAGTGAGTAAATAACCATTCATACTCCACACAATGCCCCCTTACTCAGACATTACCAGCTCAAGTCCCCTTTGCCTTCAGTCCCACTGGGCTGAGGGAAGAAAGCTAATCCAGAGGATGGAAGGAGCACAGGCAATGCCTGTCGCCCTTTTAGAAGTCACAGATCAAAGCTTTCTTACTAAGCAGCGGAAAATTATTACAAAATTAACTAGATTTCCAAGTGACACTAAGGAGCTAAGATTCCTAATCAGGAAATGAAAAGATGTTACTTTGCCATTACATTACCTGTATTTTGTCCTATCCCTCACACACAAACAGTCCTCCTGACTCAAACTGCCTGTCACAAAGCAAAGATGCAAAAAGATATTGAGAAACTTGTACAGCTATCAGGGGATGGCTTCCAGACAGCAAGTAAGGCACAACCGCTCTCTGGTAATAGCACTGTCAGGAAGTTCTCGGTAGCAGTCATATGCTATTTTTCCATAAGATTTAGCCAGATCAGAACAGAATCCCTTCTAGAAAACCTAAACTACAGATTCTGCCAACCCTCTATTCCCTGCTTTTCCCCTCTGTAAGTCAGGAAAAGCACAAGCAGTCTATTCGCAGAAAATGGTCAAAGTAATTTCTGAATTAGTAACGTGACAATAAAGCAATGAAAGACAATGTTCAACATCCCTTATTGCTACCTATGTAGGATAACAAAGATACTGAGAAAATCTGTCATTTTAACTGCTCCTAAACCACAGGCTTTCCCAGAAAACTACACAGCAAATCAAAGGTGATATAAAGTATAAATAAGTTGGTGTGGTGACCAGAACGCCAGCATCCTTCCAAAGGATATTCTTAGAATTACCCTTGATAATGCACACAATAGAACAGGTAATGGAAATCATCACTTCAGCAGGATATAAAATTCCTCTTTTCATAAAGGCACTCATTGTGTAAACTGTCCTATGAACAATAACCCAAACATCTGCATTAACAAACAGATGATAAATAACGCTTCTCCTTATTCATGGCAGGAGCCATCTGTTCATCTAGCTAACCCAGCTAACCCAGGCAAGCGTGGCAAGCATAGTCACCACAACTTGCTGATGTTACACATCTTCATACTCCATATTTCAGTGTATGTTATTTGTGTTTCCAAACTGCGATAACATGGCATGAACCATGCCAGTATAAGTCTTAAACACACACACCTACAATGAAAGACTCCAAAAACCAAAGAAAATTACCTCTGATCTTCAATTAAAGAACATAGCCTTTTATGCATGGGGATGCTGGATTATAGTTTCTGTAGTCATTCTCATCCTATTAGACGTATGTTTCTTTTCTTCCTTGCTATTCTATACTTTTTTTTTCATGCTTAGCCTACTTGTTCTTTCAACCAAAGGCTGCTCTTTAAGAGAGCACTTTGTGGAGTTTACATAGTGGCTTCTATCCAAAGCTCCCACCCATTTTCATGGGTTAGCCTTTGCATTCAGGAGTACTTGAGCAGGTCCTGTTATTCCGAAATTCAGTGGTTTTCCTTAAGTGCAGATCTTTTCATGAATCTTACCCATGCAGCTCCATCAGCTCCCTACTCTTACTGTTAACTCCAACAGCTCACTCCCTTGCTGCCGCTGGATTCCCCCGTGCCATGGCCAGATTCTGGTGCCCCCCCGCCCCGTACCAAACCAATGTGCCAGCTTCGGCAGAGACACATTTTCCTGTGCTGAAACCCGGCGTGGGCAGGGTCGGGAGGAGAGGGACCAGAGCCCTCCCTGCCCACGGCTGCGGGGTGTGCGGACTGCCGCCTGAAAGGGGAGATGCGGGGACCGCTCCGTACCTGACCCAGTTGTCGCGGAACTTGCTCTGCTGGGGCTGGTTCAAGTAAATGGTGCGGGCTGGTGCCTCGTCCAGATCCGCCGCGGACGTGGCTCCGGACATCTCATCATCCGCCTTCTTATAGCCCGAGGTTGAACAGACCGGTCCTGCAGGGAGAGCGCGGAGAGGAGGCGGTCAGCGAGGGGCCGCACCCGCCGGGGCCGGGCCGGCAGCTCCCGGGGCCGCGGCCGCAGCCGGTGGGGGCCGCACGGCACCGCGGGGGAAGGGCCGCGGGTGGGCGGCGAGCGAGCCCTGCACGGTGTTTACCACGGCGGCGTCTGGTAAATAATGGCCAGGCGGGGAGGGGGCGGCGGGGCCGCCGCAGGCAGCCGGCGGCGGGCACAGCGCCGGGCCCGCGCCCCCCGCCCCGCGGGGATGGGCCGCGCCCCGCCCCGGCAGCGCCGCCCCCGCGCCCGCCTGGGCCACTGCCAGCCGCGCTCCCGCCGGGAACCGGCGGGCGGCCCTCCCGCGCCCGCTGCCCCCCTCCTTCCAGCCTCGTAGGCTCCGGCGGAGGGATGAAGGGCGGGGGGGACAAGCAGCACCCACCGCACCGCCGCGGGGCTCCCGGTCCGCTCCGCTCCCTGGCGCTGCCTGCCCGCGCGCAGCGCATCCCGGGCGGCCGAGCCTGGACCCGCGCTCAGGGAGCGGCGCATCATCCCCGCCAGACCAGACCTCGCCCAGGCCCCCGCGGCGGCACCGAGCGGCCTTGGGCCCGCACCGCACGGGGTGGCCACGGCCGGGGCTGGCTGGGGACTCCGTACTCAGAGACAAGACTCAGGTTTAGACTGAAATGAGAAAGAGACTTGTCTTGCTTTACACTTACAGCTTCAGAGCTTCGACTTGAGGCTTCTTCGGCTTACTTTCATCTCCAGCTGCTCTGGAGTGAATTGAGCTCTATAAGCATGGTTAAGCTTTGCATTAAAAGAATGGGAAAACATAAGGAAAAGGAGCTAGCTATTTCCTCTGTCAAGCCTCAGGACATTAGCAACTTTGTGGAGACAGATTTATTGCTTTCCCCTTCGTTCTAAGCCACAGAGATAATTTGACTTACGTGAGCTGTAAATATATTAGAGAAGAATATCAGTTTATTCAATAAGCCATAGATTTGCAAGCTAGCAGAGATGGCTCTAGACAAGAGTCGAGTAAAGGTGTTATGTTAGCGTTATTTGAAAAGTTCATTCAAAGGTTAACATTTAGAAGCAACTACTGTAAAGCCAAATCTATTTCTGATTTCTGTATAAATTCAAGATCATACTGCAAAAGAAGCTGATCTGATCAGACAGTGGCTAAAAAGGACTCTTGCAATGAATAGGAAAGACCCTGGAAATTACATCCTCCTTAACTAAAGCTTAAGAGAAAACCTTCCATCCTACACAGCCTTAATATACTGAACACTTAAATAGTGGTATTGGGTGAAAATTTGTCCTGTTTAAAACAGGATATAGTTCTAAGCTAACACCCTACTCATCCCAGACTTTCCCAGTGATGGATTCTTTATTGCTAGTGCAAACATGCTCTATATCCTCTAGCTGTCAGCCACTGGAGGGCAACGTTACCCATTCATAGTACGATACAGTCAAGCACACAAACTTTGTGGTGCTAGTAGCCGGCCAATAAAGCTAATGTAATTAACACACTGACGTGCTTTCAACTTGCCAAAGGCAAGCGTTGCACACTGAAGACATTTTGGAGACATTAAGCTGACTTGTAAGTCCGAAGCTTAATTAATTGATAACTCATTTCAGTTGAAACTAATTCAGAGCAAAAATATGGCAACTTGATAATTTTTACTTTGTGAAAAAGGACATAAATTCAGAAAGCAAAATATGAAGACTAAACACTATGCAAGGCAATGCCATTATGATACTATAATAGGTTATTCAGCCTAAAGAAGCTTGCCACAACAGCTCAATCTTGTTGAGTATTCTCCCCTTCAAAAAAAACAGAACTAAGAGCACTATTGGATACTTGTTGTCCTTTCCCATTGATTCCATGTTGCGTAACTGCAAAGGAGATCAAACAACACTCTTAAGAGCATTAAGTGCAAGGAAGCTTTCATTTGAATTCTTAGGCTCCAAAACACAAGTGCAATTATTCTAGAAGAACGTGCTGTAAAAATTGCTGGTTTTTTCCAAAGTCTTCATTTGTTTTGTTTTTTTCATAATTCCCTCTGAGGCTTGAAGTTCTTCTACTGACTAGTTCTCCTCTCCACTAAGTTTTATGAAGCTGTCCCACAGCTTTAAGGATTAACTAAGTCAATACAGCTGATAACGTTCAGAATTATTTAGGTGTACTTAACACACTATGCTCTTGGCTACTCTCTCCAAGACAGGTGCCGCAAAGACAATTTGCCTTACTCTTTGGACGCGCTGAAATATTTTTCAAAGCAGACTTGTGAGTGTGTAGAAACAGCTGCAAAAAGGTTTTTGTTTCTCAAAGTGGCTCAAGTCAGCTGCTTCAACTCTTAGTGGAATAAGGCTCATTTTGGAAGATTATTCAGTAATCCTGCCTTTCATCTCCCTCCCTGTTACTAAGCAGATCACACCAAAAAACCTGCAAACAGTGACCTCTGCTACTGGCGATAGATGCTTTCCTTTCCCTGCACTTACAAAAATTAAGGAGCTCTGAGCTTCTGTGGGGCTTCTGGTAGGCAGCAGTCCCAGGGCTTACACCCCCTTTAAAGACACCTGACCACATGCAGACAATCACTTCAGCCATGCAAAAGCAACTTCACCTCTGTTCCTTATTTCAGAAAAGCTACGGGTAAATAAAGCAGACTTGACCACCTTCTACAGTAGTAGAATTTAAAACTGAAGTCTCAGCAGTTCTTACTCATAGTAATGTTTATTTCCCTGTATCCACAGGAATTAGACTCATTGACTTCACCTTAGGGCACACCAACTTTCCACTCTGGGAAGGTGTCTCTCCCACAAGACCTACATATTTTCTGTTATTTACCCATGGATTTGCAACTCTGCTATGCAATTTATCTTGTATTAAACTATTCATGCTTCAATTACTAGTAATATTAATAGCAGACCATTGTCCCTTACAGCCTCTTTATTTCACATGCTTAGCTACATCAGATTTTGGACGTTTAACTACACTGATCTTATGTCTGTATCACAGAATTGTTTAGGCTAGAAAAGACCTTTAGGATCATCAAGTCCAACCAAGAACCCAGCACTGACAAGTCCACCACTAAACCATGTCCTGAAGCACCATTTTTACATGTTTTTTAAACATCTTCAGGGATGGTAACTCCACTACTTACATCTACACAGAGTTTCAGCATTGTCCAATATATCTTGCTTCAATTTTGAGGCATAAGACACTTAGCACAGGTAATACTGTTTCACACTGTGCTTTAAAAGTTCAGTGAGTGAGACTTGAGTTATAAACTCCCTTTTATAAAGCCCATTCATTTCTTCAAGGCTCTTACTTCACACTATTTAACAAATTTATTCTCTAAAAAGAGATAGGATTAAAGCTTGACAAAAATAAGGAGATTTTATAGCCTTCTCTCATCATTAAGAGAAATCAGACTTGACGCCCTGACAAATTCACATGGCATTTATTATCATTTGAAAAGCAATGAATTATGGCTTAATACTCTTACTAGGCCTGCAAAGACGACACTTTCCATGTGTATCTGTCTCCTCAATGTCTGTTCAGTAATAATCATAGCTCCTGTACGATTAATAAATAAAGTGTTGTTAATTCTGTAGTGTTTTTAAAGATGAGTCACTTAGGATGCTTGCCAACTGTCAGAAGTCACAAGAGAACTTATGCTGAAATTATCACTTTTCAGAAGATTAGCTAGCTAGTTACTACTTCTAGCTAGGTGTTGTGCTAACTTTCTCTAACATGGGTTCCATTTTTAAGAAAGAGTGATAAGAGGACAATTAAGCCCCTCACCACTACAGCAGAACCACAAGCTATGAGAAACAGCAGGTTTCTACATGAGAAGTTCACCAAACAGGCTTCTTCATATCATTTAGAATCTAAAGCAACGTTAAGAGCATTTATAGCCAGGAATCATTATACTGATTCTGCACACTCTTTGCAGGAGTAGGATCTTGTACAAGAAAGGACACTGAGCTGGAGAAGCTGCCCCCACTAGAGCAGAGTTGGTCTCAGTCTCCTGAGGTCTTTTCTCACCGTGAGAACTCTGCAATTCTAAGCTTATACAGTCACAAGTCAAAGTTTAGGTAGCCATACAGAGTCCTCTGTATGCCCCCAACTGCAGGAAGTTTTGAATAAAGAGATATAAGAAAGACTGCTTTCCTCAGAGTGAAAGGAAGCCTCCAAACTTTGTCATTTACCAAATACATGGCATTTTTGTTATAGGTTAAGCCTCAAAGAAAGAGTTAACAAAGTGAACATCTGAGAAGGTAAGAGCCACATTTAGGAAGGTGGCAGACAAGTTCTCTCTGCACTGAAATACAAAGTTAGTTCTTAACAAGCCACTCAGAGTTGGCAACTGTCATTTTCTTGGGATAACATTTTTTTTTCCCACGGGTTTCCTGTCACAAACTGAATACTGAAGAGGACACCAAATGAGGAGTTCTGCAGTTGAGAATTGTCAACAAGTTCATATGTTAACAGTGACTTTGAAGCTTGTATAAGTGAGCTGGTTTTACCTAAAACCACTCTTTCTTACACTGTTCCATTATCTGCCTTCACTGTTCAACAGAAATGCACTTGGAAGTTAATCTAAAAGTGCGTAAGGTAGGAGTTCAAAGAGACAGAGCACAGCATGCTCTCAACGGGAGACACAGGGCATGAACTCGGCTACCAGGTCCTCCCAGAAAGCTTTGTTCCCACTGGGACATCTTAACCTTGAGTTACAACCAGTTCATGTGAAAAAAAAACCTGACAGTGTTAAAGCTTTAATTTTTAAGAATTTAGAAAACTTCCACAGTGTTCCATAGTGTAAAGTTGTAGGCAAGCATTCTGGCATACTCATGTCTGAGGAAAGGAAGAATTCACAGTGGGGCTTTTATTTTCTAGCTCTTCTATTACCAAAAGTGCTGTTAAACATGCTTCCTTTATCATAGATACATCTTGCAAAGTAAGATGTCTTTAGATCACCTACATGCAAATA